GCATTAAAATCTTCCTTGAAACTATCCGTACATTAAGAGATTATGAATAATAGTACCTTTTACAGCATTTAAGCAAACAAAATATGTAAATTATCACTTTTACCAAAGCTACTACTACTGTTCTTCTCCCAGGAGGATGCCCTACATGATGACAGACTCATATCATAGGTGCTATTGAGAGAGTAAAGACTTAACATTCATCACCTATATACACAGTCTTCCAGGATATAATGATTAACTTCATTGTAGAATATGTTTTTACCCTGTTTTCAGTATTCTCCTCCTGCCCTCTTATAGCAGGTCCTTCATAAGGATTCTCCATTAAAATTTTCTTTAGTTTCTTCAGTTTAGGACGATGTTTCCGTAGTTCCCAGTAGCTGTTACAAAATCCCCAGATCTATAAGAGAAGCATGATATTGTTAGTGTATTTGAGTCATAAATGCAATTAACCATAATACACATATGTACCCAGTAGGACGTGTCTGTTTGTGTGTTACAGTGTACCAGGCAGGTACCTGTGTATGTGTATATGTGTGTGTGTCATTTTGATACCTGAGTGTGTACCACATGAGAGCTGTCCTGGCTGTTAGTCAGTTGGTCTGGTGTTCTGCATCCTGGTACAAACAGCAGCAGGTTGGATGTGTCCGCTATTTTTAGATCATACGTCTTGTCGCCACTGCAGAGGACAGCACGCTCATCCTTATCCCCTCGAATCACTAGACTGGAAAAAGAGAAAATAATTGTTAATTGTCATTTATGACTTACATTTACACATCTTTGCATTTGAATTATCTACAACCACATTAATAGAAGAAGAGGAATGAGATGATGATGAGTTCATTGAGAGATTAGTCAAACTACACAAATTAAATTGACAACAATTTTAAAAGTTTTTAGTAATTTAAGTCAAAAATATGAAGTGGTTCCACCCTCTCGGATAAGAGGGATTATGTTTGTTTTATATCATTGCAAATTAAATACAATTTGGGTTTGGGACTTTTGTTACATAATAAACGCATGTTGAAGATGTCTCTTTGGGCTTTTGGGAACTTGTGAAGAGTTCTTGTCCTTGTTTTTGACATTAAAAGTCTTTAATCTACACTTGAATCAACACTGTAATGACCAGACCTTCTGACAGAACACAAACACCCTACATTAAACAATGACCTTACCTTATTACACAGACGCATTACACACACTAACTCACGACATGAACTCCTCACCTTTGTCCAGCTTCTATGTGCTTGCACAGTGTGTCGTCCAGCTCCATCAAGCAGTAGTCTGCAGAAGAAACGTTGTCCCCGAAAGACAGACAGTGAATAGTTTTCTGCAGATCTTCCTCCTTCAGCTTGGCGATCTCCAGAGTGGCCTGAACCTCCTCTAAAGTCCTCATTTTGCGTCGGACGGCAGGTTAGATCGATAATGTTTGTTTATGGATAAATCTCTTTTGACTCGCGAAACAAACTTTGGCAAACTACCCGTTTAATAATGTCAAAAAACAACCCCAATGTTACTTTGTAACATTATTCGGTGACTGTCAAATTTCCCCGCTCTCTTTCTGTCGTGGGAAGGAAGTGTGGAAACTACGTTGATGTGCGACGTCAAAATAGGACCGGGTAGAAACATTACTCGACAGATAACACACATTAATGCTCAAATACTTATCTTAGAGCATTTATTAAATGTTGTCATTGATATATAATAACATGTAACCATGAATCTACTGTACAATTTGCTACATGAGCTTAAATATAGATACAGCTGTAATATAGGAACAGTGAAGTCTCCAATCGTGTTTCAACCGAGTGAAACTACCCAACGGACCGTCAGTCACGTTGAGGGTCAAATGTTTTGAGGATGAGCAGATAGAGTCATCGAAATGTCAAGTTTCTCCAGATCTGCCCAGGTAGTGACCCATACCCGGTATACCTTAAACAATCACACTTCTATCTGACATGTTGAGCGTTATGTGCGGTTCGGTTCGTATAATGCAGTGACAACGGTCAGTGGTGAGCGGTTAGCTAACGAGCTAGTCACGGTGTGTGTACAGTGTACCGGTAACTAGTAACTAACACTAGTAAGTAACTAACAGGTTGACTACAGGTGAAGAAATACGCGAGAGACACAGTCGCTGTAGTCCATGCAGTTGTTTGCAAGAAGCGTTATAGCCATAAAGCAAATGTTATTTCTTGTCAACCTCTGTAAACCTTTACTGAACATCACGCTGTGAATTTAATTTAAATTGTAATCTCTCTCTTTAGTGGACCAGACTGTATTGTCATACCATCACATGCTTGCAAACAGTTTGGTTTTTCAAGTATCTTTAAACCAGCAAGACGTTTGAAAAAATGCCAGCTCTGTCAAAGGAGTACAAAAACATTTTAAAAAGGAATAATAATTTACTTTAATGGAAATGTTGTGTCTGTATAATAAACAGCTTCAGACTGTTAGTCTAAAGCCTTTTTCACTGACATTTTAACTTGTCATATCAGAATAAGCACAGGCGTTACTAATAAAATGAACAATGTCTCTGTTGTATTCAAGAGTAAATTCTGACAGTGATCCAGCAGGCACAATACTAGGACCCAGAAACTGAAGCAGCTAAATGGAATTCAGCCATCATTCATTTTATTATCTGCACCTGTGTGTTTCGTACTGTGACGTTTCAAAATGTCTTCTCTGAAAAAGACCTATTGTCACATAAAATACAGGTCTCTTGTTTATTCAACCCAATCTTTCTCTCTTTTCTTTTTAAATTTCAGCAATGGGCGACCTTCGCTCGTTCCTGGTTCCTGATTGATGCCAGGATGCAGCCTCCTGGGAAAGTTGCGGCCATGTGTTCTATTAGATTACAGGGCAAACACAAGCCTATCTACCATGCACTCAGTGAGTCCAATCTGTCACACACATATGAAGTCATGATTAACTTTCTAACTTTAACATCACCCTTTACACTACGTATAAACTACTGTTTATATACGCTGAAACCACAAAACACCCTTAACTTAATGTTGCTGTGGACATCCACTTGATGGCAGTAGAGGGTCAACTTTAATGAATATATTTGCTCCTTTCTTTTAATGATTGCTTTATGAAGTAACTTTTTTAATACTTTTTTAAAATGAATCTTTGTTGGTCTAGTAAACCAGCTGCTGTTGTGCTATGTCTGCTCCTGTCTGCCTCTCTGTCAAAATAGAATCAGGTATTTCTTTTTATGTTTGTTTTTTTAACATAACAATAAGTCTGAAAGAAAACATCTTGAACATCTTCACAGGTGACATTGGTGACCATGTAGTAGTAATAAACACCAAACACATCGCGTTCTCTGGAAACAAATGGGAGCAGAAAGTCTACTCATCACACACGGGGTAAGTGCATACCACTTCATGATACATCACTTTCTCCGTCTCTTTTTCTTCTGCGTTTCCATGTTGTCTTGTTTCCTCAATGCCTATGAACCAATCCAAAAAAAGCACTTTTTAGTGTCTCAGTAGCGTCTTGTCACAATCCTACTCGAGGAGACGCAATGAACTTGTGTTTTGTCCACCTGCTAACTATAAAGTTTTTGTGGTTGGTAGGAGTTGTTTTGCATTGTTGCATTCTGGACACCTAGATTTGTGACAATTAACTGTTTGGGATAAATAATTACTTTTCTTTTGTACTTTATGCATGTACATTTGAGATTGGACGATAATAATACAGCACCTTAAAGGGGCACCCAGTGGGGACTGCATTAGATGCTCAAACATCCCTTGACTGCTGAAAAGCCGTTAAAATAAGTTCCTTTGTATTTCTTTTGTTTAAAAGAGAAAAAAATATTTAATTACATGTGTAGATTAAAAAGCTTAATGCTCTTCATTATAGTATGTATTGTATTTTTATATTGTAGTATTGTAGGAGAAGATTCTTTGTCATATGTATTTGTTTACTTTCTTTATATATATACACACACGTACATTTAAGTAATCTTTATGTTAGGCTATTAATGACGACCATGAGTGTGTTGTATGTAAGCTGCATCTTTCACTTGGCATGACCTCAAATCAAAAGGTTGCAGTAAATATATAATGTGAACTTATTTACATTTGTATGTATGTCCTGTAAATGAACAACAAGGTCTCACTTATGGTTTATCTGTTTTCCAAAGGTATCCAGGTGGATTCAAACAAGTCACAGCTGCCCAGCTGCACCAAAAAGACCCAAAAGCTGTAAGTGTCATCAACCAATATTTTTTACTTTTTCTTATTATTTAGAGATAAATGTAAAATCTTAGATATGCCACTGTCACATACCTTACACCGTGGAGACCTGCTGTATTATATGTAGGATTTAACCCACATTCTTGGAGATTAGTGTAATCTGCCACATGCTGTGCAGAGTAGGTATTTCGTGGTTTGACATTCATCCTTTCCTTCATATGTGCTGCTTGTGCATATTAATGTGAAGTGCGGGGGATTAACCAGCAGTGGATTTGTGCTGGTGGTGTGTGCTGAAACTGGGTGCGAGAATGTCAATTCAAGGATAATTCCTGGGGTTTTGGTAATGTTGCATATTTATGGATGCAGGGACTCTTGACTGTGAATATAATTACACACAGTGGTAATTATATTCAGAACTTGATGTGACCTACATACTGTACTTGACAAACACTCATGCCTGTGTTACAAAACATGGGTGCCACAGACAGGGTAGGGGTAGGGCTCACTAGACGAACACACTGTTGGTTTTGGTGTTTCCATGAGATTTGTTGACCTTGACAAAAGTGTGAAATACCACCAGTGTTATCTGTTAAAAGGATACAAGCTTTAGAGTGTTGGTGCCATTTAGTTTTATATATCTAAATATTTTGATTGGCATCTCACATTGGATTCAAGGTGCTGCTCTTGTGCCTCATATAGAATCGACTTTTTATTATCACATGTACAGTGATGCACAGTACAACGTATAGTTAAATAGGTCTTCTGCATTCAACCCATCCTAAGAGTAGAGCTGGCCCCCATGTGCCAGGGTTGAGTCCTTGCTGCAGTGGCCATGGGTTTGAGTCCGACATGTGGCCCTTTATTGCATGTGGTCCCTTCTCTCACTCCCCCTTTCCTGTCCATCTAAACCTAATAGAGATCCTATTAAAAGAGCAAAAATATATATTTTAAAAAAGGGTTTGTTTTTACCACAGACAGGAATAGGGTTGTTATTTTTAACAAAGGGTGACATTATCCCTTTAAGTCTTAATATGTATTGTGCTGAGATGTATTTATTATCATATTTGTTTATTGTAACATCAGGTTATTGTCTGCTCCTTCATTTCCTCCAGCTTAATCCACATTGATCAACATGCATGAATCCTATTCAGACGAATCAGAGGACCACGGGGTGTTTAACCCAAATACTTAGCTATACAGGGCAGGAGTGATACAGTGTTGCACAAAAGCAACCGAGCTGTTCAGAATCATTCATTATGAGAGCTACACAGGAAGGGTTCGTAGACTTTTTACCACGCGCAGCTCGTGTAACCAATTAAAAAGGCCATGAAACTGCACTTGTGTGGGAATCGCTAAAAGTAAGTGGATGATCTGTACTGGTTCCCAATCTGTAGTTTACAAAACCAGGAGAGACATTTATTCTGCTGTTGGCTCTTTGTTGATGCAGGCTTTAGTCCAGCCGGTAACCACAGACGTGCGTCCTGATGGTGGTTTAGTTAAAATGAGGTTTGGCGAGCGAAGAGAGAGAAATAGAATTGGACAGATGAATGATTTGTCAGCACTGCCTCTGTCCAACATCTCTTTCCAATATTTCTGTCCAGTGTCTGAGTCCAGTAACTCTCTCCATGGTGAATTCACATTTTTGCAACCAGCCTCACATTGAGAAACAATTTTTTCACATTATTCAAAACTATGTAAGGTTCATATAGACATTTCCTTTTAGAAAGTATGTGAACCATGTCAATGTGCTTTATCTCACCAGATTGTGAAGCTAGCAGTTTATGGCATGCTGCCTAGGAATCTGCACCGGCGCACCATGATGCAGCGATTACACATCTTTCCTGAGGATGTAAGTCAAGTTTCTCTTCATCTCTTCAGCGCTGATGAGTCTTCAGACAGACACTCTTACACCTTAATCATCCAGGCGTATTAAGGACAATCAGCAAGGAGGACACATTATGAGGAGGGGTGCACTGATATCATTTAGCAGATTCTGACACAAAAGAATTAGCCAGTTTTAATCATCCTTCATCCAGGTCACCTTGACAACTAATATCAGTTAATTACTGTAAAATTAATATATGTTGTTCAGCATTTTCTTTGTTTGACAGAGGACAATATTAGTCAATTTTTTCTCCTACATTTTCTCAGTTTGTGTGTGTTTGTTGAAGTGCTGGACAGTGAGATGGCATTTTAGTGTTTCCCACTGGTTGTGAGAGTGCTTCAGCAGTCTCAGTCTTGTATAACTTTAAGCTGTATTAGTCATTAATATTAATATTTTTATATTAACAAAGGGTCAGATGACTGTGTGTATGTGAAAGGAGTCCCCAAAGCTATACTGAGCAATTAAGCATCTTTCAGCACTTTGTTTTGGTTTTATGGCCTGCAGCTTTCCTGTTTTCACTTTCACTGCTCTAAAGCATTTTCTGTGAAAAAGCTCTAAAAACACTGTACACTACCTGCTCAACACCAAAGGACAGACGGACACAGATAGTTGCTAGCTAGTTGATGAACATTTAGTAGATTAAGAGTGCCATATACTAGAAGTTGGTAGAGCCCAAAACAAAGCAAAAAGATAGTAAATATTGGATTTATATTTGTCAGGTAGCCAAATGAATGCATATGTTGCTTTGTGTTTGCAAGGTATGTAAATAAGCAACTTTTTTTACATTGTGTTCACTTTATATATATATATATATAAAATATGTATATGGGTGACTAATATGTTTCCATTTAGTCATCAATGTGGTCACTGCAGTTCACAGACAGCACTTTTGGCATTTGGTAGCATTAAATTGTGATAGTTTTAAAATGATGTTGGCAAGAACCACCGGTGTCGCACATCACTGCTTCTGCAATGAATTGAAACAAAAAAGTACTTGACAGGCTGTTAATTGACCCGGGCAGCGGGCCCAAATATTAACTGGATATAATTTGTATCCATGCGAGAGATCACCATCATTAATTCTAGGAATGACAATGGAAGATCTTTGACTTTTGACTTGTAATGTAATACATGAGGTGTTTGGTGTCAGAATTTAGAAGTGAGGAAAGACAGATACCTGTCTTTTATTTTGGCCTTGACTTGATTTCCACCAGCAGAACTGAGGCTTCGCAGTGTGCATCCCTAATTGCAAACAGATGGGCTTCCTGAGCCTTGTGAATGTCTGCAGTCCCATCTGCAATTCAGAACAGAGTATTTAGGAAACTTTGGTGTTTTTTGATCTCTATTTTAGTCTGAACTATGTGCCCGCTCTAAATGACTCTACAGACACACACCCACCCATAATGAATATTAATGAGAATGTCATTCGAGAGTGAGGACCTAAATCTCCTTTTAAGTCTTTGAGTAGAATATCTGAGCTGCTTTCTGGGTGTAAATGGTGCCTTCTTTTTTCATGTCACCTCCTTTCAATTCCCCTTTCCTCTCTCATTTCTTTCTTTTCACTTTGAATGTATTGTCCTGCCTACAGTTTTCAATTGCAGTGTCTCCTCTGTCCACTCCTCACTAGGAACTGCCAGACAACATCCGAGCCAACCTGACAGAGGAGCTGCCTCAGCCCAGAGAAATCCCCAGGAAACTCAGCGAGTACACGCAGGAGGAGATTGACGCCTTCCCCAAGCTGTGGACACCGTATGTAGAAACACATACAGTCTGCTCTCAAACACACAATGCCAGCATAAAAAGCAGACACGATCTGTACACAGCGCACATGCAGGTGTCACTGCATAGAAATGGAATTACAGATGGGAGGAGATGAGTGCAGTATCTACTGTATTACACACAAAAACCTCAGTACACACAGATTAATATACCGCTCCTTCCTCCCTCCCGAAACACACACACAGCATTACACATGCATGTGAGGGTCTCTGTAGTAAATTAATAATGGCTGCTGTCATTTAATTTAATTAGTCCACTAATTAAAACTCACTGAACATTGTTTTGTAAGCTAAATTAAATCACCACCATTGAAAAGCCAACAGTGTACTTGTCATTAGGTTTGATTTTTTAAATTATATTGTACATTGTGATGACGTAAAATAGCTGTCATCGCTGTCTGTAAAAGCAGTTTTTACAACAGTTTTCAATCTCTGTGGTTGCTACAAGGTGACAAGTTACATAATGAATGTCCTACAAAGAAAATATGCATAAACTTATACTCGCCATTCAGCGTTATTTGTATTCAGCTGACTGAACTAAGCAGAAAATGACACATTTTAATGTTTATGGTAAAGCTAACCCCTGACTTCTACCTTCTACCAGATGGCTTTTTTAATTGCCTGACAAACTTTTAAAAGCACCTCACTTGGGAATCATTTCCTCATCTTTTTGTCCTATGAGGACGTTTGCACCATAATGAGTAATACACACACACACACACACACACACACAGACACGCACACATGCCCGTACAGTCACTATTTTATTGTCTTGTACTGATGAGGAATAGCCAGAAGGGGGTGATGTTGATCCGAGTACCATCTCACATTGCTGTTTCTCATATTTCTGTGTGTATACCAACTATCCTGCCTTTGTGAAACAGTAGTTGTCATAAATTAGCATTCGGTGAGATTCTTTCTTTGGAATATTGCGGTTAGTCGTGCTGTTATAATGACTTTAAATCTTCTAAAATAATTACAGAAAGCTGTCAAAGATAAACATACGTTTTTGTATTTTACATTCAAAACAAATGCACGTTTGAAAAATCTATGGCAGATGGTGAAAGTACCGACAAAACGGGGAACTTGACTTTAGAAGAGAGACACAGAAGGTGTTGTGTCACTGGCCGTTAACCAGTGCGGTACATTCTTCATGTTAATGTGGACCGGGGGTTGAAGAGTCGCATATTGCCTCCCCCTGCTCCGACATGCAGGCGCGTTTCCACAGTTCTGTGTTATTTTCATGGTCTCACTAAGCAACGTATGCATGAATGGGTCCAATTCAAAAGCTCGCCAACCCACTCTTTTTGTGGTCAGTCTGACTCGGACACTTTTCACTCGTGCATGAACAAATAAGATGCAACATTTTTCATTGTAACTACAAACACATGTGGCTGTGGTGTGAATGATTTCCAGCCAACAAAGAGCTGTCAGTATGTGACCTGATGCATCGAGAACTACGACGGCTGTAGGACAAGCAGCCACTTGATTCTACTCTAAGATTAAAAATGAATGTAAATAGTGCTCCCCGTGTGAATTCTTTTATAGGACCTAACATACAGCTCTAGTACCTAAATATATGACCTTTTCCCCCAAGTTGACATTTTTATTTACTGTACATAAAAGTTTTGTGTGTCGTTTGCTCTGATGGTTACATGCTTGTGAGCTTCCCTCAAGAGCTTTATAAATGACGGCCGTTGTATTATCGAACAACATAATGTTGGAGGACACTGCAATGTAACAGGCCACTCACTTTGTGCTCTGTAGATGTGTCAGCAGTTGTATTGTTTCTTTATTGTTTAACAGAAACTTTGCATCGCATAGTTTTTTTTACCCTGGACTAGGTGCTGTGCCAAACCTTTGAACAAAAATGTTGAAATGACATAACTGTGTGGAGAGTCAGCTGTTTCCCACCTCTTCCTGACTGTGTGGGACATACGAGGGGTTTAAGTGGGGTGTGAGAGAGAGCATCTGTTATTCAACATAATCATATTCATGGCTTTTTGAGTAAAGTATTTTCCGGTTGGAGATTAGACTGACATTGTGACCCCGCGGTGTGCTGTCATGATAATGTCGTCCTGTTGCGTTTCTCTGGCCTCACCTGTAGTAAACATCATTCTGACAGGTTAACTGAGAGCATCCTCTCTTCCACCTGCTCAGCACTAACCTTCACGTCCATCACTCTAGTCGATCTATCCATTTGTCATCTAGCTGTTTATTCAGGTCAGGGTTGCTCTGTTTTTCACAGGAGCAGCAGGCCCAACATTCAAGTTCACTGGTTGTCTTTTAATTTTACCTGCTTGGAGGTTGTGACTGAGCTCGTAACAAAGATCAAGCAAAGACAAAGGTTTACCTTGTAGCTCAACTTTTAGCTGCATCACAGTCCCACATGCAGTAATGCTGCCGTTACTGCAGTCAATACACTTCCACTCTCCAGGACTACTGTGAAACACAATCATGCAACTTTGATGAGTTTCTTTATGCTGTCAATAATGTGATATATACAATTTTGTGTAGTATCTGCATTGGGTTGAATACAATATTTGCAAATTTTTAAAATTCTTCTTCTTAAAATGATCACCATGTAAGTGGAATGAATATTATTCTCACTCTAGAGATATCCAGCCACGCTGATGGTTTTGGTTTTATTTGTCCAGGTTTCCAGATATCAACCTCTGAAATGTCTGCCTCTACCCCAACACAATGGAGAATTTAAAGTGACATTTGAAAAATGGAACAGCAGCATGCCTTTTTAAAGAAATTGTATCCCAGTTACCCTGGAAAAAGCTGCTGTTGAATTTTTCTAAATATTGGGGTATTTCTAATATTTCAGTACTGTGAAGCACCACAACAAAGTTCCATTCACCTC